ATACCTCATAACTTAACATTAAATGAAGTTTCATTCAAATCCATATATCTTTTCTCAAGTTATTGTTTGGAAACCAAACATATGGACAGACAGACTGACGGACAGACAGAGACAAACACTATAGTTCCCTCCAGTTTCATTTGCAGTAGACTAATAAAGGAATAAAACAAGAGATTATCAGAACATAACTTTATGAAGTGTAAAAATAATCTATCCTGCAACTAGAAATTACCAGGAAAAGGTGTTTTCTATATATAACAAGTATCATCATGACTAATGACTCTGTAAACTTGTGTTTATGACAAAATTTGGGCAAGAATTAAATTTTAAAAAGTGACCTTGAACTTTAACCTATGATGCATTTGCTTGTCTAAGGCATTAAATGGACTTACATATGGAATTAAAATATTACAACATTGGTTGATTTAAGCTCTCACGAAAATTAACAAGTTCAGAGATGGATGTCTTATGCCAATGCAAGGTGGGCTAAACAAACAGATCCTAGAGAGATATTTTAACATGATCGTGAGATTTTTCTTTCCTTTGAAATTGGTTCCAAACTCAAACATACACCCACATCTTGGGATCAATGTGCACACATCTAGGGACAAAGGAAAACATACGTATTATACCTAGAAACTTGACAATTACAAATCCAGTCATTCTCAATTCAAGAAATCAAAAGAAACAAAAAAAAATTATGACCATCAAGGCCATTGGAGGCAGTCTGCTAGTCAGTATTTAGAAAAAAGTCATCTGCATGAATTCAGCTTACCTCCACTTTGTTTGAAAGTTTTTTTATCAGAGTTAGAAAAGTACCTACATCACCTGCATAGTTATCATGCTTCAAGAGTGAACAAGTTGGTTGCACTGGGGAATGAGAACAAAACAAGAGGCCCATGGGCCTTAACGGTCATCTGACAAAAAGCAAGCCAAACCTAGAAAGTGGGTTGAGGTCATTCATTTGAACAAACTTGGTAGCCTCTCCTCCAAGCATCTTACAGGCCCAATATCAGCACTCATGGACGTTTGCTTGTTGAGAAGAAGTCGTTTGTATATTTTGACATATTTGACCCCTGCGACCTTGAAAGTTGTTCAAGGTCATTCATTTAAATAAACTTGGTAGCCTTTCCTCCCAGCATGCTACAGACCCAATATCGGCACTCATAGACTTTTGCTTATTGAGATGAAGTCCTTTGTATATTTTAACATATTTGACCCCTGTGACCTTTAAAGTGGGTCAAGGTCATTCATTTGAACAAACTTGGTAGTCCTTCATCCCAGCATGTCACAGGCCCAATATCTACACTCTGAGCCTTTTGGTTAATGAGAAGAAGTTGTTTAAAGATTTTAACATATTTGACCCCTGTGACCTTTAAAGTGGGTCAAGGTCATTCATTTGAACAAACTTGGTAGAGCTCCATGCCAGTATCCTCTGTGCCAAGTATTAGCCCCTTAGACCTTCTAGTATTTGAGAAGAAGTCGTTTGAATGAAAAGTTCACGGACGGCGCATGGCGCACGGCGGACGACGACGGACGAAGCATGATGACTATAGGTCATCGGACCCTTCGGGTCAGATGACCTAAAAAATAAAACCGGGTATTTGAGCACTGTTCCCGTTAAAGCATTGGTCAAGTTTATCTACTTCAGTATCGCAATACATGACAGTATAAAATCAGGAGAAGAAAAGTATAAATGCAGAGGTCCAGTAAAAACTTATCGTCTTTTTCATTAAAGGGTGGATGTGAAGTTTATCACCTACAAATTGAAGCATGTAATACTTTTAAGTATGAAGGTATAAATCGACAAGAAGCTGATGAACTATGAAATTATTTCATATCATTCGAGCAGCCTTAATCACACAAAATCTTGAGTTTCTCACACCATGGGAAGTATAGATCATGGAGCATAGTTATATCATTGTAGTGGAAATAGTCTGAAATACTTGTTGGTAAAAAAACACTGTTATGGCTGATCATACACTTTCCCTTTTACTCATTTATCTCGTTATGTTACCAACCACATGACAACATGAAACATACCATGGTAGAGTGTTAAAACACACTCATTTACATAGGGGAAGAAGCTGTGTGATGTTGGGTTTTTTGTAAGGAGAAGTTAGATAACTGTTCCCAGCATCTAAAAATAACTTTATCTGAGAAATATTCAAGACACTATCATGTGTTGGTATTGATATTAAAGCTGCTGACAATAGTTTTTAAAACATACTTCCATTTACAATCTTTATCATATCAAAGACATCAGTATTCACCTTCAATATGTATGTGCTCTATTCAGACTACACAACAAGCCCTTAAGTGACTATACACCTGCATGCTACTATACCTGTACAGGTATCTACCTTACCTGTTAAATGACATGTTCTTATACCTACTATAAAGACTGATTTTCACTGGTGGTAATGGTAAGTAATTAGTCTTACCTTGAAATATATCAAGAAACACATATACATATATGAAAAACAAGAGGCCCATGGGCCTTAACGGTCATCTGACAAAAAGCAAGCCAAACCTAGAAAGTGGGTTGAGGTCATTCATTTGAACAAACTTGGTAGCCTCTCCTCCAAGCATCTTACAGGCCCAATATCAGCACTCATGGATATTTTAACATATTTGACCCCTGTGACCTTGAAAGTGGGTTGAGGTCATTCATTTGAATAAACTTGGTAGCCTTTCCTCCCAGCATGCTACAGACCCAATATCGGCACTCATAGACTTTTGCTTATTGAGATGAAGTCCTTTGTATATTTTAACATATTTGACCCCTGTGACCTTGAAAGTGGGCCAAGGTCATTCATTTGAACAAACTTTGTAGGGCTCCATGCCAGCATGCTATGGGCCAAGTATTAGCCCCCTAGGCCTTCTAGTATTTGAGAAGAAGTTATTTAAAGATTTTGACATATTTGACCCCTGTGACCTTGAAAGTTGTTCAAGGTCATTCATTTAAACAAACTTGATAGCCCTTCATCCCAGCATGCCACAGGCACAATATCAGCAATCTGAGCCTTTTAGTTATTGAGAAAAAGTTGTTTAAAGATTTTAACATATTTGACCCCTGTGACCTTTAAAGTGGGTCAAGGTCATTCATTTGAACAAACTTGGTAGTCCTTCATCCCAGCATGTCACAGGCCCAATATCTACACTCTGAGCCTTTTGGTTAATGAGAAGAAGTTGTTTAAAGATTTTAACATATTTGACCCCTGTGACCTTGAAAGTGGGTTGAGGTCATTCATTTGAATAAACTTGGTAGCCTTTCCTCCCAGCATGCTACCAACCCAATATCGGCACTCATAGACTTTTGCTTATTGAGATGAAGTCCTTTGTATATTTTAACATATTTGACCCCTGTGACCTTGAAAGTGGGCCAAGGTCATTCATTTGAACAAACTTTGTAGGGCTCCATGCCAGCATGCTATGGGCCAAGTATTAGCCCCCTAGGCCTTCTAGTATTTGAGAAGAAGTTATTTAAAGATTTTGACATATTTGACCCCTGCGACCTTGAAAGTTGTTCAAGGTCATTCATTTAAATAAACTTGGTAGCCTTTCCTCCCAGCATGCTACAGACCCAATATCGGCACTCATAGACTTTTGCTTATTGAGATGAAGTCCTTTGTATATTTTAACATATTTGACCCCTGTGACCTTGAAAGTGGGCCAAGGTCATTCATTTGAACAAACTTTGTAGGGCTCCATGCCAGCATGCTATGGGCCAAGTATTAGCCCCCTAGGCCTTCTAGTATTTGAGAAGAAGTTATTTAAAGATTTTGACATATTTGACCCCTGTGACCTTGAAAGTTGTTCAAGGTCATTCATTTAAACAAACTTGATAGCCCTTCATCCCAGCATGCCACAGGCACAATATCAGCAATCTGAGCCTTTTGGTTATTGAGAAGAAGTTGTTTAAAGATTTTAACATATTTGACCCCTGTGACCTTTAAAGTGGGTCAAGGTCATTCATTTGAACAACTTGATAGTCCTTCATCCCAGCATGTCACAGGCCCAATATCTACACTCTGAGCCTTTTGGTTAATGAGAAGAAGTTGTTTAAAGATTTTAACATATTTGACCCCTTTGATCTTTAAAGTGGGTCAAGGTCATTCATTTGAACAAACTTGGTAGAGCTCCATGCCAGTATCCTCTGTGCCAAGTATTAGCCCCCTAGACCTTCTAGTATTTGAGAAGAAGTCGTTTGAATGAAAAGTTTACGGACGGCGGACGGCGCACGGCGGACGACGACGGACGAAGCATGATGACTATAGGTCATCGGACCCTTCGGGTCCGATGACCTAAAAAAGAATTACAAGTCACTATATTCACTTTGTTAAACATATCTTACAAACAATATATATATATTCCAAAATTAAAAACAAAGAAAAAATGTCACTCGCCTATCTACTGGAACTGAATCGGAATGGACACGTATATATTGATCAAGTTCCATACCACAACATCTGGTACCCACTGTGTTGGTATCAACTGTCAAGTTATGTTATTTGTAACACCTGTACCTATCAAAATGTACATTCATTGCTTGTACTGCATATTGCCAGCAATAAACCACGATTGTATACATGTATGCTATGCAGGTCCACTGTTTTCTGTGAAAGGGTACAGGGTGCAGATCTCCCTTTTTAAAACCCCTTACACTTCTATTTGACACTGTACCATTGGCCCACTTTGGTTTTTAACAAATACAGCGAAAACACTCAAACTCCAAAATACTAAAGTTAAATATATTTCAAGGGATAATGCAGGTATATGATGTGAGTATGTGAGTGAGTATTGTGTAACATGCAAGTATCAGTCTAGTCTTATCAAGGAACATTGACTTGTAAAGCTAAATAGGGATGGAAAAATGATTTCCTGTCGTAATATTAATAAACACATATATGTAGAACTCTTCAGTGGTTATTCATGACAGCGTTGTTTTATAAAGGACAAACCTTACCAAAGACATTTGAATTCAACATCTTACATACCGTGTCCCCGGAGATCGCTGAGGTACATTTGGCATAGTGAATGTAAGGGCTGTGACTAGGGTTCTACCAACAGAACAGGCACACACTTTACACAGCAAAGACTACTTTTCTTTGTGTTTAGTAATTCATACAATATTATTATTCTTAATAATAATGAAATGTATACACTTTATACACAATTTCAAATTCAGATTCTATTTAAGGATTTAAATGGCACAAATTAATATTTCATACAAGAAAGTCTCTAGAACATAATTACAGTGTATTAGTATTTGTTCATTTGTAAGCACTTTATTAGTAACAAGTAATGCATTTTTGTATGAAGCCATGCTTGCAGAATCTTTGAAGAGTACAAATTGTATCCACTTACATGGTCTAAAAGAGAAATATCTATGTAATGTCTCATAACCATTTTAGTATGCAGTTGATACACAAATGTACACTCTTCTTAATAGCAGAAGCTATACTATTTTGGTACTTTTAGATAAGCATTGACCTCACTGTACTCAGTTGCTATAGCTAGATAGTGTACTAGCCATTAAATATTAAAAAAACATTATAACAGGAATGATAAAACATAATCATCAGTAAAATACTTCATTTAATCAGACGTGTATTTAAGTCTGTCCTGATAAGCAGTGTAGATCTATATAAATTGGACAAGGCTTCAAGCTCAACATCATTGAGAACAATGAGAAGTTGAAATGTTATCAAAAAAAAAAAAATCAAAGCTGAAAATGCAAACATTTATAATTAAGAATATATGTAATACCAAGTAATACCATGCAATTTTTGGGGCAGAATTTCGGGTTGAATTATGGCCAAATTCCCAATGGCAAAACCTGTAAATATTTCCAGATTTAAGCATCACAATTCTCCAAAGAATGGAAGTTTAGCAAACTTGAGAGAAAAAGTGGATGGTGCTGTCCTCTGTATATTTTTTGACAGTCAGATCAGGACCAAGATGTTTTTAAATGCATGTATATTTATATATATGTTGTGACAATGATTCTATTACTGTGACATATGGGCCTTTTTCCTGCTGGGAGCTTTCCCTAGAATATGAAAGTAATGTTATGAATGTCTTGCTACAATCTATAACTGGTTTAAATCTCCTATAACACTGGTCAGTGGATTTGTTGTGTCATCATGCTGACTGCAGCATTATGTAACAGAGGTCATTATATACATTTCAATGTCTATTCTAGGAATCAAACCCGGTGTAGCATGGTATTGTGAAGCATGGTGAAATGAATCACGGTACTAGTCTGACGCTCAACCAATTGAGCTTAAGAGTAAGATCCCTGGGTTGATTCCTAGCAGAGGAATTGAAATGAATATTATGGCCTCTGTTACATTGGCGTCCATGTAGGGACTTGGGAATAATACTTAGCCATGCCCTCTCAGCTTTACTTTCACAAGTACCGCTGTGACCCCTGGACACTCAATGACGAGTTATTTACTAGTGAAGGCATATGTAACCCTGGTAAAATACTAGTCGCAAAATACCATCCAGCTAGAGAGAACTTCTCTTTAGCTCGATTGGTTGAGTGTCAGACTAGTAAGCTAGGGGTCCCCAGTTAGATTCCTATTGAAATATATAGAATGACATCTGTTACAATTACAAGATATATATAGCCTTCAAAAGCATCTTGTAAACCTCACATTGTAGGAATAGTTTGATATCAATGAAATTTTTGGATTATTCCTGTTGGTTGAAGTCACCAAATGTCAGTAGACAGGAATGAATTGAGGAAGCTGGGGGGCCTCTGCTCATGATCAGGGTCCATGAGAAAAATGTAACGTAGTAGGGGATTTTCTAGGAGTAAAAGACTGGACAGTAATAAGGATAATTTGTCAAATAATTTGCTTAATTTTGTGATATTTATGCAGTTGTATATTTGCATAAAGGCAGGTAAGTATGCATCTATCTACTTAGATATATGAAAGTAACTTTTGCATGGAAATATTTAAGATCAAAACAAAGATTAAGCAAATGTTGAAATAATACATCATGCAATTAACAATTAATGAGTCTCATGTCATTAATGTTTCATCTTGCGGTAAATATTTCCAAAAGAAAATAATAATGTTAACATGTAAAAATTCCCCAACCAAATCCATGCTCTTCAACTTCTCACATTCAAATTGGCCAGGGACGAATAATCGGTGTTACACGTCCCTGAAATAGATGTAAATGTCTTAAAAGTTGTTTTCAATGCAGCCTGTATTAGGGTTTACTTAAGACCAGTTTGTAGTTAAGTAAAATTAGTGTACATTTAGTAAATTTTACATTTGGCCTTCAGGTTGCGATAACCGAATTGAAAACGTTCGATTGTGTTCTATAACAAACTACATGTATTGTAACAGACGCACGTGACATTCAAAATGAGTTTGTAGTAATTATCTACCTCTGATCTGCTCTTCAGTGTACTTCTTTTGGGTCTGACCAACACATCTTTAAAATCCAATTTTATATCGCTGTCGATTCTAGGCATAGCTGCTCTGTACCCTACCGATTTGTCTGATGACCTTCGTTCGCGCCAAAAGGAAGTAAATACCTTTATTGTCTCCTAGCAGAAGAGTTCTAAATCGTTATGCCATGAGAGGTTAAAAGGGAGGGGATTTCGACGTATGGTAACAAAGCACATTTTGAAATAATCATATCGATCGTACATACATGTAGCATCTGCTTTCATTAAAACAAATTAATGCGAGTTATATTGTGTTCGGGGCTAATAAATCTTCATACGTTCAAATTTGTGTTATAGCTGGTGTGTTAATACTATCTATTTCATCTTCAACATTTTACTGCTTCGAAAAAAATGTTTACTTTACGGACTTAAACATATGTAGTCTACATCAAAATCTTAGCTGAACTCCGATTTCACCAAAGACTTACCTGAAGTAGACTCTGTTTAAAGGTAGAGTAATTTCTTCAGTGAAACAAATATTTCTACTTGCACAATGAGCAACAATTTTCGTGAAATCTTATTTTCAAACCATGGACACATCTTAAACTTGCTTGCTTTTCTCCCTATCACCATGTACACTGCGTTTTCACTTTTCAGATGGAATAGATCTATGTGACGTGATTATCATTGTAACTAGTGAACCAAAAGCCATTTATTTTTTACCTATGTGACAAAAAAATGGTTGTGTTAATCACAGACCTAACTACCTGTTTATTGTGGTCTTAGGGGTAATTCGTCAGGTGAAATATTATACCGAACTGACCACATACAGGCTAAGGGAGCTTTTGGCATCGGAAGTGTCCAATGAAACATTTTGACCATAAAAGTCGATTGTTGAGATTACAGAACGAAAGTTTTTCTCATAAGATTTGTCCGAAACTCTTTAAAAGTGCAAACATATCACTTAAGACTATCTGTTTATTGTGCATAATATATTTTACATCATGCTATGATAAAGGGTTTTTGAGTGTTACACATTTGACTATTACAAGACCTTCATTCATTAAAGCCATTTCTCACCATGGACAATAACATTACAATCAACTCCATACACCTTTTGGTAATTAAGTTTAAGCACGGTAATTACAGAATTTGGATACCAGGATTTTGTGACAAAATGTTAAAAAGTTGTTCTTAAAGCAACAACTACATGTGTTACAGATAAAGACAGACAACTGGCACCACAAAAAGATGGAGGAATGTTTTTATTCTTTCTTTAACTGGGTATAGTAAAACACAAATAGCCAAAGAAGCCATACTAAGATAGTGCTATCACCAGTAACAGAGGTATGGCAAACAAGATTGAATAGTTTGTGGGCAGCAAACTGACAAATCAGTTCAGGAATAAACCTGAGAACATGTTTTAGGTACAGCTGCCTCTTATAGACTGTGAATAACAATTACACTGACAGGTATGTATGTCACCAGGGGTCGTGTAGGAAGACAGCATTTACCTGCAATCAATTGTATTGAGCAATGGTGTAGATTTTTTACTTGTTTGAAAATAGTGGATAATATAAAACATGAAAAATGAAGAAATCACTTCTTTAAACTTAAATCCTAAAAAGGTAAGTCTCTTTCGCACCTAGATGTCAGAGATGTCAGATGTCAGAGTGTCAACTAACTCGGCAAACAGAGAGAAAGGCATCGTGGTAATGATTTGCCCTCGCTTTTGGTCTGTTTTATAGGCTCTTTGGTCAGTTACCATGCAATATCCATCCTAGATACTCACTTTCAGACCAGGATCCATCATTTCGTGTCATATTTTTTAGCCCACCATCATCAGATAGTGGGGTATTCAAATCGCCCTGCGTCCATGGTCTGTCCATCCGTCCGGAAACAATTCTTGTTACCGCTATTTCTGGGAAAGTACTGGATGGATCTTTCTCAAATTTCATATGCAGTTTCCCTTTAGTCCCTAGTTGTGCATTGTACCTTTTTTGGACTGATTTGAATTCAAAATGGCTGACAGACGGCCATCTTGGATTTTGGAAGTAAAAGTTTGTTACCGCTATTTCTGGGAAAGTACTGGATGGATCTTTCTCAAATTTCATATGCAGTTTCCCCTTGGTCCCTAGTTGTGCATTGTACCTTTTTTGGACTGATTTGAATTCAAGATGGCTGACAGACGGCCATCTTGGAGTTTGGAAGTAAAAGTTTGTTACTGCTATTTCTTGGAAAGTGCTGGATGGATCTTTCTCAAATTTCATATGCAGGTTCCCCTTGGTACCTAGTTTTGCATTGTACCTTTTTTGGACTGATTTGAATTCAAGATGGCTGACAGACGGCCATCTTGGATTTTGGAAGTAAAAGTTTGTTATCGCTATTTCTGGGAAAGTGCTGGATGGATCTTTCTCAAATTTCATATGCAGGTTCCACTTGGTCCCTAGTTTTGCATTGTACCTTTTTGGACTGATCTAAAATCAAGATGGCTGACAGGCAGCCATCTTGGATTTTGAGAGTAAAATCTTGTTACCGCTATTTCTGAGGAAGCACTGGATGGATACTTCTGATATTTCATAGGTATTGGTTTCCCTTGGTCCCTAATTGTGCATTGTACTTTTTTTGGACTGATTTGAAATCAAGGTGGCCCACAGGCAGCCATCTTGGATGTCAACAGTAATACAGCACAAGCATATTTTCTTCGATATTCTATCATATTTATTCAAGACCATGTCCATTATCCACCTGTAACTGACTGCTATCTAATAATACTTTGGGATCTTTTTCAAATGATATTTGCTAATAGGTGCTTGATTGAAATATCTTGTGCCATCATTGAGAACATTCAATGAAGACCAGTTCATGAACATTTACAAAACCTGTAACACAAAAAAAAAAAAAAATCTTCAAGAACTGAAAACAGATCCTCAAATGGTGGGCGCCAAGTTCCCTCTGGGATCTCTTGTTTAACTTAAAAGTCTCCTCCCCTGTCCCCCAACTTTTGTAAATAGTTTCAAACTTTGATTTGACCCTTGTCCTGGGTTTTGTTTGTTTTGCATAGAAGTGAAGTCTCAGGATGGAGAGTGATGGATATATTTCCAGGCATCTAGCCAATAATTTGGGGATGCAGGGTCCAAGGGCAAAGCCTTAGCATGGGGTCACAAAAGGGAAGTGGGGGGGGGGGGGAGGGGGGAGAGTTGTTGTTGCAAATAATTTGTTTCATGAAAATGGTATGTATAGAACAATGTATTTGCATAAAGGCAGATATGCCTCTGGAGGCCCGTCCTCTTCCTGTTATATCTTTGATAACATAAAAGTTGCTTCTTAGCTTAAGACTGAAAGAAGTGTATATATCTCAGTTTCCCTTGGTCCCTAATGTTTGATGTTCAGTTTTGGGTACAAATTTGAATAAAACAGTCTACTAAAAGACATCTGTACCTTGAATTTTGAAAACAATTATCAAACTAAATTTCATAAGCTAAGCTTTGGTTGATGTTTTCTTATCAATGTTTAATTTTGAGACTGGTAGGAAAGGTAACTTGCAGTTGTTATTTCAATTTCTGAATTAAAGAAAAAACCATGTGTGATGGTGAAATTTCAGTTTAAGTCTCGCAAAAAATGGTTACTTTTTGTGTTGCCTGCAGAGCTGGCGGACACTTAGGGATCACTTTGTCTGTTGTCACGCGTCGTCATCGTCCGTACGAAAGTTTTCCAGACTTTTTTCGGCAATGCTTTGAGTTATCAAAATGAAATTTGGCATATGGCTTTTTGTTGCAAGGGTACAGATTAATTTCGATTCCCAACTGTCTGTGACACTTTTTGGCAGAGTTATGCCCCTTTCAACTCAGAAAATTTCCTGGGAATATTGTTTTCCGGACTTTCTTGGCTTATGCTTGGAGTTATCGAAATGAAATTTGGTATATGGCTTCTTGTTGCAAGGGTACAGATTAGGTTTGATTCCTGGCTGTCTGTGACCCTTCTTGGCTGAGTTATGCCCCTTTAAACTTAGAAAATTCTCTGGAATTTTCTTGGTTATGCTTCGAGATATGAAAATGCAATTTTTTATATGAGTTCTTGGTAAAAAGTTACACACCAAGTTCGCTTCTTGGCAGTCTGTAACCCTTCTTGGCAGTGATTTGTCCCTTTGAACTTGGAAAATTTCTCAGGAATATTGCTTTGTGCAGTTTTCCCATTATGCTTCAAGTTATAGAAATGAAATTTTGTATTACAACTTTATGGTTGATCGTTGCACATCCAGTTCAATTTCTGGGTGACCATGACACTTTATGCAGGCGACACATACAGTTCATGAACTCTTGTCTAATTATGGGGGCTGACCAATTACAGACGTTCCTATGAAGATTAAAAAGGAGCAACACCCAACTTCAAAGCCCATAAAACATTATGTGACTTCGTGATTCATGTGATGTACATCAAAGATCAAACTAGTCTTCTCGTCTCACCTACAAGGTGTTGCACATGGAACCTTTAATTTAGCTTCACTTTTGGATTTTAGTTAAGAGTGGTAACAATAATGTTAGTATCATGTATACATTTAATTCATGATGGGGTGTATATGAACATACCGCAGTCGCCAACAAACACCCACACTCAACTCATGCTCCTACCAGGCACACTGGGAGGCCATCCTAAAATAACTAAAGCTGTTGAAATAAAACCAACTTAATTTTTTTTTTCTGTTTATTTTCACAACAAACACCTACAATGATGTTATGGAACAATTTATTGAAACCATCTAAAATCTAAGGTATAAGATGTTCAGATAGTAGACTTTTATCAACTTGTAGACAAGAGCCTGAAATGACGTCCCTAATAAAGTAAAGAATTAAAAAAAAATGATACCAAATGATTCTTCAAAAATTCCTATCAAAGTAAGAATATTAATCGTGGAAGTTCTAGTATGACAGGAGCAATGTTAGTCCTGTATGTCGTAACATTTCTGTTTGATATTCAATATTTAATCTCTCAGATGTCTTATATTTCACAAATATGTAATGATGATTTGGAGTCATATGTTACTTTTTTAAATGCTATCAACAGTATTCTTTGTACTTAAATCAGTTTTACAGTAAATGTCAATTTTACTTGATGTACATGTTTGTGAATTGTTACTTTTTTTAATCAAAATGTACAATTCTAAGTTGATTCAATGTGTAACAGTAGTTTTCTCTTGTGGATTTGCTTTTTTCATAATAAATGATATTACCATATTCAGTGATCAAATTATTAAGGATTTTGGACTAATTGGTAGACACAATAAACAGAATGTTGAAATATAAAGTCATATCAGGCAGGATCATGGATTACTCAGTGTTAAGATCAGACAAGATTCTTTGTATCAAAGTATACCCAGGAAGTTTCTATATATCCAAGCTACCTGAAAAAGCAGAAACCACATTATGACAGAACAACAGAGTAATTTGATGATGAAATAACAGCAAAGTGCACCATTTTCAAATAACATGATTACATTAGGTGGGATTGTAGCAAGTAGCTTGGTTGTAACTGTGTAACACATGGAACATGTATCTATCTACTAATGGAAAATTCTTTGATCAGCCCTTGTTACCTCACTCTGCCTTTACAGTTATATGTACTGGTAAGGGCAAAATCTTAAATATCAAATCAAACGTATTTATTAGTTTTGTTCATACATGACAAAACTATGAGTCTATAAACATAAATGAGGCCAATTTAGTATACAATAAAATAAAACAACAAATTTGAGCCGTAGTTTCTCCATTTGTAACCAAGCTAAGGCAATAAATGCATGTTCTGACTGGCTGAGACAAGAAATAAAATCTCTTGCATTTACAATATATCAATGCAATCTGTCAACAATTTGTGATCACTTACATTTTGATAAAGCTGTAAGCAGACTATGATCTTGTACAAACTGGTGTCTGATTTTGTTAATGACAAAGAAGAAAACAAATGTAATCTGATACAATTCCAGGCAAGGCATACGATTTAAAAGGAATTTTGATTTTTCCAATGGTAAATGCTTTAAGAGTTGAAAAAGTTTCACAGTTGAAGCAAAATTATTTCAATAACATTTTCCCTAAATGTATCAAATACTGGGGCAAAAATTAGTTTCTTTGACATTTACTAACATTCAATTGTTGGAGTATTTTTTAAATTGACATCATTTTCATAACAATATTTATTTGTATGGAAAACTTTACAGTTCAGGCTGGAACTTGTCAACATACATAAATACATTGTGTACATTATAACTCTTCCCTTTAGAAATATGAGAGAACATTTTCAGTACTTTTTAATATCTTTAGTATAATACAAAATTTTGATGGTAGAGAAACTTTGATTATCATTGTTTCAGAATGTTGTGTAAATGTGAGAATGGACATGTGTAATATAATCACATAAAGGAAAATATCAATATACAGGGATTTGATGTAGCATTGTCAGTCTTTTTTCCTCGCACGGTTCAGCATGAATGAGTAGAAGAGTAAATGCACACAACACTGCTTTATCTCCTGATGTCTCATCAATACCAGTCCTAATCACAGACATATTGACACTCCTTCCTGATGTATGCTCAGTGCTGCGACCACTGTATAGTCTTCAGGTCAATTCCTTCCTGTACCATTTCCCACAATGGACTGTGAAAGAAATGTAAGTTATGCTTGTATTATTATACTATCAAGTTCTAAGTTTTGGGTTGGAGAATCCACTTTATTTCTGAACATTTGGCAATTTCCTATGTAACTCTTCCACACAAACTAATTTAAGATGAAACACCAGGAACAGACAGCCAGACAACACCTTCGGTAGATTAGGTCAAGTTTAATGGTTGACCACATTAGTGTGTTCTGAACATTTGGCAATTTCCTATGTAACTCTTCCACACAAACTAATTTAAGATGAAATATTTCATTTTACTTAATGTGTTTTATTCTTAAACTGAGTTTACATTAGTACACGAGGTTGTAATAGTATGTTTAAGCACAAAACATGATTGAATTTATGAATTTATGATATTTTAAAAATGGAGATCTCCAATATTTTTAGTTCTACTCTTTGAAAAATATGCATTTGACATGTGCTAAGCCACATATTTGTGTAAACACACAATATAAATATTATACCAAAGTCTCAAAACTTGCATTGTACAAATGTTTCTAAAGTAGACAGTAGATGTTAGATATCATGTGTCAATTTACGAGTAAAATCATAAAAGTAGTTTCTTATTTATCCTGGGAAAAGCCAATGGAGCTAACATGTCACCTGCGACACAAAGTCCGAGGTTGGTTTTATCATATAATACCAATTTTCGTAACAGTAAGTAAGGTAAAGATACTATTTAAACATTAAATTAAATAAAATTAAAACTTACTGTTACTTTGATGTTAGATAGCATTTTTTATCATAAAATAACATCGCAATGACATAAATTTTATAAATAATTTCAACGTTAGAAATTCAAAATGTCATTCTAAGATCAGAATGAAACACTAATTAATGTTGAAAAAATTGATGCCATATTAACATTGAAATTACATTTAAAAATGATGTTTTTTTTAAATTGAAATATTATCATGAAATATTGGCTGTGTAGGGCACTGAAATAGTATTTGTGGTAAAGAAATTTAAACGTCAGTAGATCTAGCCTCAGATAGAGTGGGTTGATGACCACACATGAGCTCATTGATGGATAAATATGGTAAATATATTGAAAGTCTATGGAGTAAATTCATGGAAAAATTGAAAGATGTTCAATCAGGTAAACAAACAGTTACTATTACTCGATCAGGTTTGAAGAGTGAAGTAATAAGAAGTGAAACTCACCTCATTTCACGCAGGCGTGTAACATGGTCAATACATTTGTCTGCAGTGTAGTCTAATTCTTCCTCTGTTGTGAATCTTCCTATCCCGAACCTGTTAAATACAATAACAAGGATTTACATTTAGTTATTAACATATATACACAAACAAAAGAACATATTGTCAGCTACTACTGTTTTATAAATCTCCTTCATAATTTCTTGCTACTATATAAACTCTTGCGCTTGAAACTTGATGAAAGCACAGATCTTTAGATAAATATATCATACACTGTATTATATTGTTATGACAATGTTCTCTGGGTTATGGACGAGTGCATAGTCAATGCAAAATGAAATATCAGTATATACTTCATAAGCATTGTTCACACAATAGTTTCAATAACACTACAAAAACTGATCAATTAAAAAACAGAGCTTCACTCTAGATAAATCCCCCATTACACGTGTACCTTCCCCATTACAAGAGTACCTTTCCAATTACCCAAGTACCTTCCCCATTACACGAGTACCTTCCCCATTACACCAGTACCTTCCCCATTATATGGATACCTTCCCCATTACACGAGTACCTTCCCCATCACACGAGTACCTTCCCCATTACAAGAGTACCTTTCCAATTACCCAAGTACCTTCCCCATTACACGAGTACCTTCCCCATCACACGAGTACCTTCCCCATTACAAGAGTACCTTTTAAAATTACCCAAGTACCTTCTCCATTACACGAGTACCTTTCCCATCACACGAGTACCTACCCCATTACAAGAGTACCTTTCCAATTACCCAAGCCTTCCCCATCACACGAGTACCTTCCCCATTACAAGAGTACCTTTCCAATTACACAAGTACCTTCCCCATTACACGTGTACCTTCCCCATTAAACGAATACCTTTCCAATTACCCAAGTACCTTACCCATTACAATAGTACCTTTCCAATTACATGAGTACCTTCCCCATTACACGAGTACCTTCTCCATTACACATGTACCTTCTCCATTACACGTGTGCCTTCCCCATTACACCAGTACCTTTCCAATTACCCAAGTACCTTCCCCATTACACGAGTACCTTTCCATTACCCAAGTACCTTCCCCATTACACGAGTACCTTCCCCATCACACACATACCTTCCCCATTACACCAGTACCTTCCCCATCACACGAGTACCTTTCCATTACCCAAGTACCTTCCCCATTACATGAGTACCTTCCCCATTACACGAGTACCTTCCCCATTACATCAGTACCTTCTCCATTACATGAGTACCTTCCCCATTACACGAGTACCTTCCCCATCACACACATACCTTCCCCATTACACCAGTACCTTCCCCATTACATGAGTACCTTCCCCATCACACACATACCTTCCCCATTACATCAGTACCTTCTCCATTACATGAGTACCTTCCCCATTACATCAGTACCTTCTCCATTACATGAGTACCTTCCCCATTACACGAGTACCTTCCCCATCACACACATACCTTCCCCATTACACCAGTACCTTCCCCATTACATGAGTACCTTCCCCATCACACACATACCTTCCCCATTACATCAGTACCTTCTCCATTACATGAGTACCTTCCCCATTACATCAGTACCTTCTCCATTACATGAGTACCTTCCCCATTACACGAGTACCTTCCCCATCACACACATACCTTCCCCATTACACCAGTACCTTCCCCATCACACGAGTACCTTTCCAATTACCCAAGTACCTTCCCCATTACAATAGTACCTTTCCAATTACACGAGTACCTGCCCCATTACACGAGTACCTTCTCCATTACACGTGTACCTTCAACATTACACAAGTACCTTCTCCATTACACCAGTACCTTCCCCATTACGTGGATACCTTCCCCATTACACGAGTACCTTCTCCATTACACGAGTACCTTCCCCATTACACGAGTGCCTTCCCCATTACATGGATACATTCCCCATTACACCAGTACCTTCTCCATTACACGAGTACCTTCCCCATTACACGAGTACCTTCCCCATTACACGAGTACCTACCTCATTACACGAGTACCTTCCCCATTACACGAGTACCTTCCCCATTACATGAGTACATTCCCCATTACATGAGTACCTTATTGAAGAATGTGCCAGGTCTTCATCAGCCCCGATTGCTCTCAATACATAGGATGGTTCCAGGGATGCAGAGGTACAGGCGCTGAAACAGGACAAGGAAAATGCATTTTAGAAGGTTCAAATCATTACTTACACTACTGCTGTTAAGTAATGTTACTGGCACTGTATCATACTAAATGATTACACCTAGATTACTGTTTATAATTTGACCTTATATTTTGGGAGGAAGAGTTGATAAGTATGATTTTTCTATCAAAAAAGTAAAAAGAAGGAAGATCTTGGTACATAGGTGGTTCATTTAGCCTTTTGGGGTTTGACTCCTGGAACACTTAAGTGAAAGAGGACCACCTCTCTGACCACATGGGTTTTCCCCTGGTACTCCCACAGTAAGATCCCTCGCCCACTTACATCTGGGCTAACAAGAGTGATAAGATTAAATTACAATAACTTTTTTCACAATTGTTGTAAAATAAATATTTTCTTTATTCTACTGATGCCTACAATCAGATATCTCTATTGGTTTTATGTAATTTTGGTATTTTCTCTACTTCTTTCTTTCATTTGTTTTTTCTTTTTGATTTTTTTGTAATAATCAACAAGTTGTTTCCAGTACTTGCTAACAAAACGATTTTCACTTCTTAAATCTGAAAATCTAACAAACAAATCCAAAGACCAAGGAACCTCCAAATAGACAGCTAAGGACCGAGGTGAATCTATGTATGAAATCTGAAAGATCAATATAGTACAACTCCTGACATCATAATAAAGTGGTTTAAGAGTAGACAACTGACCATAAATGAAAAGTTATTTGAACAGCCCCTCCATCTTATGGTCATAACAATTACCTCATTAGCAGTGTCTAGTATAGTACAGTTCTATCTTTGTGGTGCTTCAGTATTTGAGAAAATCCTATAACATACGAGGTCACTGCTTAGCTAATTTATTATCTGCTGTTATTGTGCTGACATGGTGCATGTTTCTCGACCTGCTGACCTCTAACATTACTGGAGCAGGATACACATATCTAGATAAGAAAACAGCACACAATAGCTGTTCAAATGTCCATCCTTTATCTCAGGACCATGGAACCATTTAAAGACAGTAATATAATATTTCCTATCATTTGGGAAATGGTCATATAAGATCAGGGGAAATAACGGACCTTGTTAAGTTTTTATACAGGCCTTTCAACACTGGTATTTGGAAGAATTTTTCATTCCACTTACCTTCCTGAAGACAAAGCCACATCTTTCAGAGCCATCAATAAACTCTCTCCTTCCACAAAAGCAAATGAAAGATTCACACACCCTGTGTTAAAAGTGATAGAGAAAATATTCTAAATGATGCATCTTATCTATGTAATGCAATTCTAGGTTTATTCATGACACACCTATACAATGGAACAGTTTCATTAAATATGTTCAGTTCCTCAAAACTTCACTTGTTGTCAGACAGGAATGGATCAACTTATATCATGAAACCTAATAATCTCCATATTTACTGATTAAAAGTCTAATTATATATCCCGGAAAATGAACCTGTGATGACTTGGAGGTAACACGCTTGGCTAAAAAGTGTTTGGTCACCTGGTCAAAGACCATGAGATTCCATCAAAGTCAAAAAGAATGAATGACATTCAATAATGTAAAACTTTTATATTATTATTCAGTACTCTAATCATTACAAAAGTACCTGGATATGAGCGCTCAGGATCACCATTCCTGACGACTTGAGGGAGAGCGGATTGGATTCTGTTTATAAGCCTGTTGGACAGAGCTGTGATCCGTTTGTGGTCATACTGCAACAAAGTCACCACAGTTCTAACAATATGGATGTCAGAAATTTATTTTCAAAATGTTTTTTTTTGTAAATAATTTGTAAATATTCATCATCATAATTGCAGAAAATTTAACTTTTACAAATCACATCCATGGAAAATGAACGCCTGATGGAATGAATGGTACTACTGGCTACAAAACAATTCAAACATAAAGCTGAGTGTAATAAAATAAGATAATGAGACTTGAAAGATATACCACAACTGACCTCCATTTCCTGCATAGAAACCTCACAAGCAGCCCCTAGGCCCACACAGAGTGGAGTAGGGACAGTGCCACTTCTCATCCCACGCTCTTGTCCCCCTCCACTCTGGGGAGCGTCTACCCTTACCCTGGGTCGTCGCCTGACATAAAGGGCACCAACTCCTGTTACAATACACAAAATCAAAGACAATGAACAAGAAATTTATAAATAAAATGCAGATTAAAATTTTGTTGTGTGTTATGGAAGATTTTTTTCATTGTTCACCATTAGTTTCTGCTTTATTATTTTTTTTTTTTTTTGCAATGGACATTGATATTTCAGCAATCAACATGCAATCTATTTTCCTACTGAATAATCGAACATACATTGGTTCTCCATTGATTCATATCACTTATATTTGCATTATTTTACCATCATTTTGTGATCCTAATCAAAGAGTTGAAATCCTTATCAGTGTAGCTAATTTGTGTACTCTGCTTATAGTAATTAATAACCTGAATCAGTTGAAGGGATAACAAACCTTTAGGCCCATACATCTTGTGTCCACTGATAGACATGAGATCTACCTTCATGTCGTTCACATTTACAGGCATCTTACCAACAGCCTGAGCTGCATCAGTGTGGAAAAAAATCTTGTTGGCCCGACAGATTTCACCTGTATTAAACATGCAATATGATACAGAATTAAACCACGAGATGTACTACTCTATTCCCTAAGGTCTAGTCCTTATCCAGGAGATTCAATAATATCTAGGACTCCAACATCTGAGTCAAGAATTCATCCATTTCCAATTTTGATACCCACTAAACCTCTTTGTAAATGGACTCGTTAAAACTTTAGAAATGGTGCTCTAGACACACCAGAAGATTACTGAGAGTAAACTGTGTTCTAGTTCATTCAAAGGAGATGTACTCCACAATGAGGGGCCTGGTCCTTACCAAGGAGATTACTCTATACATTGTGGCATAGTCCTTACCTAGGAAAAATACTACATACCCAGGGACCTTATCTTTATCCAAGAGATGCACTTCATACCCAGAGGTCAATTCCTTATCCAGGTCCCCATATTCAAGGGCCTAGTTCTTAACCACCCATACTCCATACCCAGAGACTCAGTCCTTTCCTGTGATACCTAATCCAGGGCCTTGTCCTTAACCAGGAGACATACTCCATACCCATAGGTTTTGTCCTTTCTTGTGATACCTAATCCAGGGCCTTGTCCTTAACCAGGAGACATACTCCATACCCATAGGTTTTGTCCTTTCTTGTGATACCTAATCCAGGGCCTTGTCCTTAACCGAGAGACATACTCCATACCCATAGGCTTAGTCCTTTCTTGTGATACCTAATCCAGGGCCTTGTCCTTAATCAGGAGACATACTCCATACCCATAGGTTTTGTCCTTTCTTGTGATACCTAATCCAGGGCCTTGTCCTTAACCGGGAGACATACTCCATACCCATAGGTTTTGTCCTTTCTTGTGATACCTAATCCAGGGCTTTGCCCTTAACCAAGAGACATACTCCATACCCAGAGACTTAGTCCTTTCCTGTGATACCTAATCCAGGGCCTTGTCCTTAACCGAGAGACATACTCCATACCCATAGGCTTAGTCCTTTCTTGTGATACCTAATCCAGGGCCTTGTCCTTAATCAGGAGACATACTCCATACCCATAGGTTTTGTCCTTTCTTGTGATACCTAATCCAGGGCCTTGTCCTTAACCGAGAGACATACTCCATACCCATAGGCTTAGTCCTTTCTTGTGATACCTAATCCAGGGCCTTGTCCTTAACCAAGAGACATACTCCATACTCTAAGGCTTTGTCGTCTCTTGTGATACCTAATCCAGGGCTTTGCCCTTAACCAAGAGACATACTCCATACCCAGAGGTTTAGTCGTTTCTTGTGATACCTAATCCAGGGCCTAGGGTGGATCTCAATATCTTAAAGAGTCCTAGTACATAATCCATACTGTAAGATCTTACTCAAGAAACCCATGCTATATTCCTGGATCAATTCCCAACCTCACAGATTGATATAAGTGTTAAGGAGAAAATGACATCGATGTGACATGAGTGTTCAGGAAAAGATGATATTGATAAGACATGAGTGTTCAGGAGAAGATGATATTGATATGACATGAGTGTTCAGGAGAAGATGATATTGATATGACATGAGTGTTCAGGAGAAGATGATATTGATATGACATGAGTGTTCAGGAGAAGATGATATTGATATGACATGAGTGTTCAGGAGAAAATGATATTGATATGACATGAGTGTTTTAGAGAAGGTGATATTAATATGACATGAGTGTTCAGGAGAAGGTGATATTGATATGACATGAGATGACTCTCTCTGTCAAATCACCAAAAATACACTACTCACTCTGTCAAATCATCATAAAGTCTATTCTATGAATTCAAAGTGCAACGAAATACAACAGGACAAAGCCAAAATTTCTTTCAAACATTTACAACAATAGGAAATTGCATGATACATGTACCAGTTAATAAATTAATGAACTTTGTAATTCTTGTGGACATACATACCAATTTCCTTTACAGGTTGTGTGACTCCAATTTCATTATTGACCATCATAACTGATACAAGGCTGGTATCAGGACGAATGGAATCCTTCAGTTTCTGTTGGCAAAAACAAATTAGGATTTACTTTAAGTTTTTATGTACTTAAAATTACTGATGAATGCTTTCAGCTTTTATGGATGTTTAAAAAGTAACTGAAAAATTCATAAAATCTAATCATTTTATCATCTTTAATGATAAAAAGTACAGCTTTTAGAGAGACACTCAACAGGTTACTGATATGAAAATATCCTGAAAATTTTAATAATTTTAGCATCTTTACTTGCTCAACAAATTACTGACAGGACAAATTTATCAAACTTGAACCATTTCATTATCGTCAGTGATAAAAGGTACAGCTTTAGAAGGAGGCTCAACAATGTACAGAGATGAAAAATCTTTCTTTAATCATTTTGTCATCTTAACTAATAAAAAGTCCAACTATAGAGGGATACTCAAGTTTTTTATATGATACATTCGTTCAAGGTTAATTATTTCAACATCCCCTAAAAAAAGACTGTATATAGTGAACAGGTGACATTTCGCATACCTGAATATCGATCAATCCATTTGTTAACACAGGTAAGTAGGTGACATCAAAGCCTTCTGCCTCTAAAACTCTGCAGGAATCAAGTACACATTTGTGCTCCTGTAAAACAAAACAGACATCTAATGAGACAATGTCTGACTTTCAACATATGAAATATATACATGAATAGAGAATATCTTCTTGCTTTTCCATGAAAATATATAGTCAAGGATTCTTTAATACCATCCTTCAAAGATTAACAGATCTTTTTAAATTTCACAAATCATTTTTTTCATGTGTAATTCAATTAAAATTTTAAGATGAAACTCTAAAAAGGGTAAGTAATTGCAAATGGCTAAAACATAAGTGTAGATTAATCCTTGTTAACCAACAATGTAACAATGGTCTGAAAGTTATTTTCATTACATGATAATCTTCAAAATGGCATTTGAAAATACAAATATACTGTATGTCTGGCAGGGTTACTTCCCCTGACAGACTAACTCTTTTTTTTTTGTTGGAATCCCATGGGTCTTCCTGTCTATGCTGAAATATCATGTGACTTTCTGTGTTGGAACATCATGTGATATATTGTCTTTGTTGAAATGTCAGGTGACTTTCTCTTTTGGAATATTCTGTCACTAACTGTCTGTGTTGAAATGAATACTTTATGACTTACTGTCTGTGTGGTAATGATGTGCTTTTTCTTGCTCTTGTAGAACCTCCCAACTCCTTTGACAGCAATATTGTTGGACTCTGTAGCTCCACTTGTGAACACAACCTCTCTGGGATCTGCACCAATCAATGTTGCTATTTGCTGAAATTATGAACAACAGTAATAATTTAATTGGTTTAAATGAGTCCCCCCTACCTAGTTGTTATTTTAACTGTACATTTCCCTCCATCTACCTATTTATTGATTTTTACAATTTGACAATCAATGAATGGATTGACAAACCACAGAATTCACTCATGGTGATCCCACAAATCTGACAAATTCAAATTTTGATCATTCCTCGAAACGATAGGTTCTGTTCATGAAATCTACCTTGTCATTAAGAAAGAGAAGTGTTTTGAAGCAAAATATTTTTTAACTTCTCATTATTGGGCCCAGTCCCCAAGTCCCTAGGGGTCGAATCAACTTTCTGAATTTAAATAAATGATAATCCATGCGCAATAATGTTCAAACCAAATTTGGCACTATGAAGGAATAGCATTTGGAAGCAAAATCTAATCTAATTTCCCCTTTTGTGGCCCCACTACCAAGTCCCTAGGGGTCTAATCATTTTTCTGGATTTCGCTATTACAGACCAAATCTGAATGAAATCCATTCACGCATTTAGGAAGAGTAGTACTTTGAAGCAAAGAATTGGCTAACTACCTGTTTGGGTCCCCTTCCCCAGGTTCCTAGGGGTCCAATCAACATTTTGAATTAAAGAAATTATCCTCTACCCCCAATAATGTTTCAGACAAAATTTGAATAGTGTCTTAAAGGAAAAGTTTATGGACAAACAGACCAAAAAATTTTATATTCAGTTATGGTAGTAACCGTTACTGATCTGCAGATGCAAATTATTTCTACAAAAAATTCAAGGAAAAATTCAAATAATTTCATTTAGAATATGATGCACTTGATGCACCCATTCTCAGCATGAACTTTCATTTTAATCAATGTTTTATGAATAAATTTTTCAAACAATATCCATCCCTACTTGTCTTGCTTTTTCTACTGCAGCCTCACTTTCCCATCCATATGCATGTGTCCTTGAATGTGGGTTTCCATAGTAACTAACAAAGTATGGCAGCATGGCATCCAACACCCGAGGATCCTTTATAGAGGAAAAAAATAATACTATCATTACATTTACAAATAAAATGTTCAATATTTGTTAAAACAAAAAAGGGCATGGGAAAGTTGGTAAATATGTACATGAACTGCATAGAAACTTATCAGCTAATTAATAGTTCACTCTACATACAATTATGAGGTGCTGACTGAATCATGGTCTCAGTTTCACAGAATCGCTAAGTTTTATTTGGAAAGAAAATCAAATCAGTAATGAAGTAAAGATAGAACTAAGTTTAAGAAATGTTCCTTAAACTTGAATACCTGTAGAAATTGGGACGCATTAATCACTGGTTACCACAGAAATAATCAGACCTAATACATGAATTGATGTAATCATAATCAGGTGTAAGAACATGAAACTTAGAAATCTTTGTGATCACTGTAGCTCAGGTTAATCAGGTTAATACAGTCTATATAATTGTACATCTCATCTGATGTCATTTTATTATCATCTTACCAAAGGTGTGGTTGCTTGTGAATCCAAGTAGAGAGGTCTCATTCCTTTTGTAGGCATGTCCTTCCTTACTTCTGAGAAATCCTCACTTTTGGCTGAAACTGAGTCACGTTTCAGGTGAATTATACATGTACTAGTTTTACATTAATTAAATTTTTTCTTGTATAATAGTACTTCTCTGTTAGTAATTAATTGTTAAGTAATTGTTAGATTAAGTTTTGGCTGCCATTGTTTGTATCCTCATCTGCACTGTATATTCATGCTAAATATTGTTAATCATTCAGTTTTTCTGAAGCTGGTAACATCTACATAGCTTATTATTTCAGATAAAAATGAGTTGTATTAATAAATAAGAAATGACATTGATGGTACTATACATTAAAAAAATCAATGAATTCAGAATAGCTGGGAACTACCTCAGTCTATACAGGATGGAAGTACAAAATGACAAATCATAATGATAATAATTGATTTAAGCAAATTTGAGCTTTGATTGATAATATCGTTGTATTCCATCAAGCAAAACCTAGCAAGGTATATGTGGCCTCTTCTCTCTTCTTTTTTATCATAATGAGTGACAGTTGATAGATATAAGATATACATTCTGCAGTAAATTGACAAAATAAATCAATAAATAGAGCATAGCTTTCAGATGCCACAGGTGCTTTAGCATACCTCTCTAAAGCCTGGGATGACACATTAAAAGACTTGCTTTCCTTCCCATTTGTGATGCCTTTGAAAATCATATGGTTGGTTTTAAGAATTATACCCTTGAAACCAAAGTGTTTACAGTCTTTTCATACTGCTTTTAACTATTACTAGTGCTAAAGTTTAATAAAATAAAAAACACTCTTTTGTATAAGTTAACACATATTTATTATTTATAATCTTTGACCAGAACCTAGCAGAAATTTTTAACTTCTGTATATCCAAGATCAGAACAACTAATATTTTGAACCGTAAAATACATTTTATCTCTCCTTTTTGTCTATGTGAAATTGTTCTGAAGATGGTTGGCCAAGTCAACTGAAACATGTTAATGAATAAAATCTAAGTTACAGAATCCTTGGTGTTAATGTTCCATCCTTTATTGTCCTTATTCAAAAGAACAGATAAGAAGAATACAGCTTCATGACAGTCACAGGCAGAATAATGACAATTAAAGTCCTTGACTTCAACAACATCCATTATAATAAAGTGTAAAATATATTGCATATTGCTTGAAACAAGATCTATTCTAAATTTAATTCAAGTGCACAATTCTTCCAATTTTTTCCACTTCATTAACTTTAAACCCCTATTGTTTCCAACTCCTCCCATGTTGCAGGTAACAGCCTCAGGTAATATCTCTGTACACTAACCAACTAGTGTACTCTGCCTGGTTTGTGTTACAGGCCTCTGGGAATATCTCACAGCAAATGAGTGGGGTTACTCAGAGGTGTCATCACCTTAGGGTGTGAAAAACTTATGCCCAAATAATGATATAACTTATTAACTTTAATGACCAATGAGTGTTTATTGAGAGAGCGGTTGATACATCAGATCACATCAGCTTAATTACTTATCTAATACAAATTTCTCCAATAAATTAGGCAAAAGTATAGCAGGTAATAATACCAATGCCTTTTGTCTAGTCATTCATCAGACATGTAGTATGCTCTTTTTGGTACTATGTCATTATCTTTTAAAATATCTAAGTTTCAAAATTTGCTTCCATATCTATTTTGACTTATTTACTATTTTAAAGAAATAGAGAATATATCCAAGTCAGCTTGTGTAGTGACTTCTCCAATTACCTCCTTCATTATCCAACCTAATTCTAAAGAATCTATTTATTCATATTTAAAATAAATTTGCATACATTTGAACTGAACTAAATAAGTTTTTAACTACATGTACTTCCTAAAAATTGATAACTCTGAAAAGTTATGTGTATTACAAAATTGCAAGTTGACAAATTGCAAGAGGTTTTATATATGGCTATAGAATTATTTTCTTCATTAAATTTCACAATAAAACAGCATGGAAATTCCTTTAAGTTGAAAATTGTTATGGTATATTCATATCACTGACTCAGATAAGACAAGTAAATGTTGAAAATATTTGCATGTCTTCTTGTTAAAAGCAATTTTCAAAAGACTTGCATCAAAATTATTTCTTCTATTTATGGCAAGCTTTACAGTTACTTTGTACTTCATATTTGTATGAGGACATGTACACTGCATAGTATTAGTAACTCACCTGCCAAATCTTTCTTGTTTTATAAACCATATAGTGATCAAACCAACAGATAAATATAACAAATGAAAGATATAGACAGTTCTGATAACCAAATTCTCCTGTAAAAATGCTGATTTTAAGTTCATTTATCACCATTTACGTAATTCAACTTCTGCAAAAAATCAACCGCAAATCATTAAATTTCTGAAAATCAAACAAAAGTGAAATATTTTATATATAACGACAACTTATATCAAATAATGCTATAATGGGTCCATTCTCCTGAAAAAGGCTTTCTGGTCTGTTTTCTTCCATTTCGGTAATTGAAGAATAACTGTAACAGGAACGGAAAAATGTGTGGCCAGACCTACTGAGCTAACTGGTCACCAACAATCGAGTTCTGCTACACTTCTCCCTCCTATGTGTAGTCTTTGCCCCCAAAGACATCACATCTAACAACCCAGTTTTGGGTATCCCCTTGTTAAGCATTCACCTACTGCTTGATTGGTCACAGCACCAAATGTAACAGGAGCGGAAAAATGCACTCCAGAACTTTGGAACTCAGTTCCACGACATAGAAAATGAATATGTTTCTAAGTGGGATTAACCCACTATTTTTGACATACAAACCAACATGTTATTAAATAACACGATTCTAGGTTCATTCTCTTGAAATATGATTGATAATTTTCCTCCATTTCGATACTTCAACTTCATTTCGATCTATTTCGGTAAATAACCCAACCGCACTAGCTGGCTATCACTTTTAAGCGATACATCTTTTCAGCTATGGCGTTTCATATGAATTAAATAAAACATTTTCTTACAACTGCCATCATCATGCCAATCAGCGTTTATTTCAATATCTACAACAAGATAAATGGCGTCTGCTTAAATCACCTTTGTAATAATAAAGCATTATCGATATATTGCATCACCTATCAACTTATGTAAATGTAAATCCGGGTAGCTGCACTTACCTGCGGGCTGTGCAGCATTGTCTGAGGTGTGGGTTTGGAGACATCTTACACCAACCACCTTATCTGAAGCCCTTGTTACATTTCTGGATGTCTGTCTAAGTAAAATTCTTAATGTATACATTACAGAAGATGATTAAGCCCTTTTGCGTCGAAGTTATGCTTTCATTTCGTCTAACCGGAATCCACACGTAGTACGAAAGGGATGGAACCGAGCCACAGACAAGAAATCCGGATCTCACAACTAACGCATGTTTATCATCAAAATGAATGAGGTAATTCATTTTTATGCATACCTAGCTCCTAGGCGTGTCTCAATATATGTTTAGTAATTATTAATAAACGAAGAACATTTTCAACCCCAATTTTACTCATGGAATCCTATACACAATCCAAATAATATTTTCCGGATTTTTGATATCATAAAGATTTGTATTTACAAACCATGTCGGATTTCCGATTCGTGTTTTCTGGTAGCAGACAGAAGCGGTTGGGGATACTTGTTAAAACATGGAAGTGACAACAATGTAGTGATTACGCTCTTTTAACTGTTTATGAAGGATTGTTTGCGAACACTGACATACAGTTATGTCTGTAAGATTCGCCAAACTTTTCCATACGCAGCCGACATGTAGACAATCATCATTGATGACCTTCAGTAAGTTCACCATGCCACACTGTAGGAGATTGGGACAGATTTTTGTAAGATCGTTCTACTCAAGTGCAAGTTATTTCATACCTAACGCTTCTCCTAAACTGTCACCTCAACAGGTTAACGCATACATTAGATTGAATGAGCAGTCAATTATCGGGGAAGGTGCAGTAAAAAGCTTTGACTGCAACCGCCTTCCAGCTAATAATCCAATAGAAGACCGTGATGCTTCAGCTAAACTAAAGAATTCAAAGACGGGTCAATACTTATTTGGCGTATTTGATGGTCATGGAGGAGACTTTTGCTCTCAGGCTGTTTGTGAACGCCTGTATAATTATATTTCCGTGACAATGTCTCCACCAGAAGTATTGGATGTGGTTAGGAAAGCCAATTATGACATTAATACCCTTGTGGATTGGTTGCATGGACCACAAAGGATATTCACTGACGTCATGGATAGTGTTTACAAGGCAAAACTGGCAAAACTAGCTTCAGAAATTCTTTCTCTCTCAGAAGAAACGACTATAAAGGAAAACCTTATTAGTGCATTTAATTCTCTTGACCATGACTTGATGAGTGAAGCTGCACCTACAACTCTTAATAGAGAATTACAATTTAATTCTATGCACATGGCATTTCAAGGGTCATGTGCATGTGTTGCAATGTTAGATGACACAGACTTGTACATTGCCAATACAGGAGATTGTAGAGCAGTTCTAGGAGTGCAGGATGAAGATGGGTGGAATGCTCTACCATTGTCTCAGATGCATGATGCTGCTAATCCATCAGAAATTAGGAGGCTTTTGCAGGTTCATCCAAATGAAAGGGCTAATATGATTCAGCAAGGAAGACTTTTTGGAATATTAGCTCCTCTTCGAGCATTTGGAGATGCCCAGTTCAAGTGGTCTGCAAGAGATTTGAAACATGTTGAAAAGACAAGTGCCTATGATATTCCTATCTATGGTAAAACACTGATTCCCAGAGGCTACCAAACGCCTCCTTATGTTACTGCTGAGCCTGAAGTGATCCATCATACACTCACACCTAAGGATAAGTTTCTCATTATAGCCTCAGATGGGCTTTGGGAACAAATGCCAGCAGAAAAGGTAGTTCAATTAGTTGGCGGTCACAATGTAGGTCACCAAGTACCTGTGAACTTTCAACCTTCTCCAAATATGACTTTAAAAGACATAAATGAAGCACTCAAAAAGAGACAAGATGACTTGAAGCAGAAACCACAAGATGACAATGTGTGCTCCTATCTTTTGCGACATGCTCTTGGTCCAGAACATCAAAGAATCTCAGAAACCCTATCTCTAGCCCCAGGTTATGCCAGGTTTTACAGAGACGATATCTCCATTATTGTTGTTCATTTTGATAGTGAATATATTAAAGATAGATATGTCACATGACATTGAAATTTTCTGATTTTACATGGCCTCTCTACATAACGTAACAGAAATGAATGAAATCTAATTATAGCATGTGCAGTAACCAACTCTCTAGCTATTCCAACTGAAAAAAGCTAACCCCATTCATCCAGAATAACAAGTACGCATATCAGTTTTCATGTTTTAAACAGTTAAAATAAATCTTTAAGTTTTACTATGAATTATATTGATCCAATATTGTTGTGACCTCTACATGTACGAATATTCCATGATCATATGTCTGTATTTAAAGTGATCCCTGTGGCGTTATCTGTATCATATACATGTACCTATACTGAGTCAATAAACTGTAACTAGATAACTAAAATGTACTTGATCTGAAGTTTATAGATCAGTTTCAATTTCAGAAGTTGAAATATGTTATGTAAATGTGACATTATTACCATTATGTTGATTCCTAGATTGACAATGTTGTCTATATCAGTCAATAAATTTGCCTATAGTTTAAGTTTAGCAAAATTTCATGACACATGCATGTACATTTGGTTTATAAAATTGTAGTTATATAGTAATATAATAGGTATGGCTCAATTATATTGCCTTGTACAACAGGCAGAAAATCTAAGCAAGGGAACTGTTTTGAAATCCACTGGTACTACATGTATTTTGATTTTTGTTAGTATCTAGTAAACTTAAGTCAAATACTCCGATAGTATCTTGAAACATTGTTTTCCTTGTTTTCAGCTGAGTCATGTGTTATTATCTTTCCTTTTTTTGATAACAAGAACAGATTTATGCATAAACTGTAGTACACTTTTAAGTTCTTCAACAAAGTTTTCTTTCCATGATATTTAGAATGAAAGAAAACTGTTCTGGTCTAATTTTATACACCAGCCATCGTCTCCATGAATTAAAATCACTTTCATACTCTTCACCCATGGAATATAACATGGCAAAATTGAAGGCACAAGCGAAATAGGTTGATTGGTTACTGGAGAAATAAAAGACCAATCACTGGCTGATATGCTCCTTTTGAAGATTTCAAAGTAGCAACAGCCAAACACAAAGCAATAACAATATACTATAATGCAACTTTAAGATTTGTTAGATGTATATCAAAGGATCAACCAAGTCTTGCCCACAAGGTGTTGCACTTTAAATCTTCAGTTTTGCCATGAAATGTTCCAGGGGTGCAGAGATAGAAAGTGATCATAAACCCTAGAGTATCGAGGATGTATACCAGCATACCATATCAAATACAACTTACTTACACAACATATTATTGCATTTCTTGCATTTATCTACATTGGTATGTCAAAATCCTAAAATATGCATTTATTTATAATGATAACATAGTGCTCTAACGTAATTTTTTTCTGGTGTTGTGAATTATCCATGTTTCTGGTGCATATATACATAAATTTACATAATATTGTAAATCATGTTTTGCAATATACTTTTTTTTAATTTTGATATAGGATAATTTGTGCATTGCAAATATCAATATCTTAGTTCAGTTACTCACCTACATGAATAACATAACCAGTATTTGACGAATTTTTGTTCATCTGTAAGTTACAAAACAACAGAAGTTTTCATGACATCTGTATGATTTTCAGTATTACATTGATATATTTAGTATTTATGGTGTGTTCATTCTACTCCCACTGTATGTATACAATATGTTATACTGGGATTTGCTGTAGACAGTAACTCAATACAACAATGTATTTAACATGCTGTTATATGTTCACTAACTTTTGCTAAGAAACAGTTACTGATATAACATTTTACTTTTAATTAAATGTTTATTTCCGGTGTTATATATGAAATTAGATTGGGAAGATAGTGGATGACTGGTGATGAATAGTACGAGGCTGAGTAAATTGTGGTGGGTGGCTGGTGACTTATGAAACTAGACCAGGTTGATTGTGGTGGGTGACTGGCAGTAAAATGGAACTAGACTGGGCAGGTTTTTGGCAATGGCTGGTGATAAATGGAACTAGACTGGGTAAATTGTGGTGGGTGGCTGGTGATTGATGGAACTAGACCAGGTAGTTTGTGACTGGTGATTGAGGGAACTAATCTGGGTAGTTTGTGACCGTAGATTGAGGGAACCAATCTGGGTAGTTTGTGACTGGTGATTGAGGGAACTAATCTGGGTAGTTTGTGACTGTAGATTAAGGGAACCAATCTGGGTAGTTTGTGACTGTAGATTGAGGGAACCAATCTGGGTAGTTTGTGACTATAGATTGAGGGAACTAATCTGGGTAGTTTGTGACTGGCGATTGAGGGAACCAATCTGGGTAGTTTGTGACTGTAGATTGAGGGAACTAATCTGGGTAGTTTGTGACTGTAGATTGAGGGAACCAATCTGGGTAGTTTGTGGTAGATAGATAGTGATAATGGAACTGGAGAAATTGTTATTCACGGCTAGAGGCCTGGTAGTTGATACTGGGTAGTAAAATGTCTAGATTTCAAACTTTTCTGATTCTAATTCCAGCCTTTCATTTTGTGCCAAAGTGAACTGTTCCCATCAAAAGTGTGATAGAGTGTGAGAGTGAAATGCAGTGAGATGTCTAGGGATTGAAGTTTACCCAGTGAATAGGATATATTCATAAACTTCCACATGTTTCGTACTCATGAGGTTTGATTTATTGGAGTTTTGACATGATCTTGATTTGTTTATGATGTACTTCCCTCACATGTTTACTCAGACCATGTTATTGTTTATTTACTTCACAGATCATTAACATGTATAAAACACTACTTGCATGTTTTTCCTTTGAGCTCATTCCTTACTTAGCCGTGTTGATAACCTGGCATTTTCTCATTATATGCTTAACTGTGTAAGTATCATATAACTGGTACTCTGAAACTTTTAATCAATTCCAGGCATTTTTACTCAGAAATTTGTTCCTTTAAAATCAGTGTAAAATTTTGCTAAGCACATATATGTTGATATCCAAATGATACTGAATAGATGAATTGGATTTTTGGTCAGGCTTATAGTGTACAAAACATTTTACAAATATATAAGAAGTATGTTCCTGTAGTATAATGTAATTACAGATATAAAAACACATTATTGTATTAATACTGTATCAAATTGTATCTATAGTTAATCACAGAACTATGCTACATGTGTAATACTATTTACACAGATATTTGTTACGACACATGTGTAATATGACCTTAAAGTGATTGGCTGAATGTTTCCATTTTTTCTTTGTGATGTCATAGCTTTATTGCATCTTAAGTATTGTGATGTCACCAAGAAAAAAAATATAGATGGAGAATGTTTCCACTTCAGAATGTATATTGGTGTAATGAGATGTTATTTTCATGAATATGCAAAAATATTCGAGTTATATGATAAACAGGGTTTCACATTCATATCCCATTTCATATGAGATTTGTAAAACTCATCACAAACAGTTAGTAAAGCTTGTTTCATATACGAATTTGAAACTAATGTAAGAGTTTATACATACTATGTACAATGGAACCCATTTATTCTGATACTATAACATCAGACTAAGAGCACGCCCCCTTTTCTATCTACACATTTCATGAATCTTCTTCAAATACCTATTCAGATTGTTGTCTTGGAATTCTGAGATGACATTTAAATAAACTTGAAGTTGAAAAAGATTTTTCCCCAAGAGATCATGAACGAATTATGAAAGGGCCAATTAACTGTAGTCAAAATGTTTGAATAACAATTCTAATGCTGGATATGATGATTTAAAATTGGCTGTGCAAATTAATTCACGAATAGAAACACATTAAGTAGATTACTATGTTTACAGATTTGTAAATTTAATCATAATTTGAAAACATACAATTATCTGTATAGAAAATGTTTCATATGTACATGAAAGAAGGTAAGTATATCAATCACAACAGCCAAAGAATAGGATATGTTTAAAATTTGATAGGTACTTGTCGACTGGTTTCGCCCTCTTGGGCTTCGTCAGCACAAAAAATTCTACTTAAATCCACTTTGGTACATTAAATGCGGCTCCCTATCTGCTAAAAATAGTATATGTGCTATTATGACATTATACAATTTCATGCTCAATAACTCTTAACATATATCCATATAGAGGTTACTAGCTCCACATGTTATCAGTTTATATACATCGTACTCTTACTATGTCTGAATATTTGTGAAAGAAGTGTTTTTTCATGTGAAATTTATAACTTGGGTGTGTTAATGACACTCTGATCTATGGTAAATTTGTTTGGTGTGGCAAAACAAAGAGGGAAAATATAATATATAACCTTTGAAACTGAGAAATGAAGACAGATTTATTTTTTTTTATTACCAGCTTGGCATATAACTGTATTACCTTGCTGTACTGACAGAGTGAAACCAATCAACTCTGATAGACCTATTACCAGACATCAGTCTTCTACTTCAATTTGAATTTGCAATATTCATCATTCAAAATAATTTTGCGTCCAATATTGATCCTTTAATATTGCCATTCTGGTTTCATGTTGATTAATTTGACATCATGTTGAGTGAAATTTCTGCTTTCTACCTTCTGAAAGTTTAGGCTTGTTAGGGGCATTATCTCTGCTCTTCATGACAGTTTGGTGGTATACACACCTTAGCTGACCACCAGGGATTGATGGGCTGTTGTTGTATAGAGAAATAGATATGGTTAATACCCTTACAAATTATTATGTACCTCAGTATAATTCCTTTCAATTCAATACAAGGTTCAGTTCTCATTTACATGAAACAGCTTTCTCATATATAAGATGTTTAAAATTTGTTATACTAAAATCCCTTTCTTATGCCAAAACGTGGCTGGAAATATGGTAAAAATAAGGATACTTAACTGAAAATGATGATACCAAGTGTTATTGATTCAGAACTTTCTGATTTGTTGATGTAGGATAGAGGTGTGAACAAAATGATGTAACCCAGGATGTTGTCTGCTATTACCTGTATACAATGACAACATGTGAAATTTGATTCAATAGGAATTTCTGAGATTAATATTCTTGCCTGCGATGAAATGTCATGGCATTGAGACTTTGGCGTTACTTTTCAGTAACGACAATGGTGTTATTGTTGAAAATTTTTCACATCTGTTGCTCAAAAAGATTTATGGTCAAGAGTCTCACAAAAATACGGATACAGAAGAGAAACTTGTATTTACTATGTAAATGTTTGGTTTTTAGCTCAGTTTCTGTGTAAGTACAAGTACTAAAGTGCTATGCTAATCAAACCTTGTAGTTACATTGTTATGTGAACATGTGAACCCATTTTGTAGATTAAATGAATTTTAATTTTTATATGTGAAATTTTTTGGGGTACATTCTGAGAATTTTTTACAAGATCTTAATAATTGTTTAGTTTACTTTAGAATTTGTTGAAAGTCTTTTGGAAACAATGGTTGTAAATTGCGAGACAAGTTTTTTTTTCTTCCCATTTTTGCAATGCATAGATATTCAGCCATGACAACACAATATCTATGAGGCCTACATACTGTCAATTATGGTTACAATGAACCAAGATATTTCTCATATTTTGCAAAAGAACCATAATGTTTTAGTGCATTAAATAGTTGGTTAAAATTATTTACTGATGAAGTTGGACAAGCAAGTGTATTTCTTGTTTTTGATATATGCTGTACTATAAAGTGTCTTTTGAGAATTTGTGATAGCATTTCTACAAAGGGAACACCAAATGTACAATTAGAGATTTAGAATAGGATTTTTATGACATTTATAATTCTGTTATAATTACTCTGTTAAACCTTGTGACCTGATTTTGTAGTAATGTAGGGCAAAGGTTAAGAAACCATGATAAAGTAGGTCAATGTTGACATGTAATGGTGCAATCAGGAATCATGGCCTGAAATCTGTGCTGTCTATATACTCAGTTTTTCTTACATATCAAAGTAAGTTCTGTTAAGTGTGATATTGTTTTACATTTTTATGTTGAGTGGTGAGTTACATTTGAATGTCTTAAAATTTAATTAAGATTAATAAATAAAATAATCCCTTACATAAGTGCTTTTGATCTTTTACATGGTCAGATACATTGTATGAAGGGAAATATTTGGCCAAAAGTTTTTTTTTTTGTCATGTGTTAGATTTTGATCAACTTCTAAAAGTGAAAAAAAAAATTTCAGTTTTAACCTCACTTTCACCCACTTTTTATTTTCACCCTATTTACAAAAGGGTAAAACAGACAAAAGTTAAACTGGGGTCAAAGTATTTACCTGTAGACAGTACATCTTGTGTGAATACTACAAACATCATGTATCTCTATCCTTGTGCTACAACATCAAATTCCTGTTAATCATGACACAAAGGTTACATTTTTACTGTATAAAAATGATTCCTTCATTCAATTAAATAGTCATTAGAGACCAAGATAAAGAATTGGAACCCTGAACTGATATAAATACTTGTAAGTCCATAGAATGTCTGTCATATTTCCATCCCTCCACACTTTATCTTGAATGGGCTGTATCTCCTTTTCTCCTTGTCTTTGGAACTTCTCTCCAAGTGTGGGCTCGTGAGGTGGTGTGTTGTGTATCAAAAGTAGACCATTGATCTGCAGATTTATTTGCATTAATGGCATAAACACAATTCCCTATTGAAAATGGAATGTCTGTGGAACATTGAATGTCTAGAATTTAGCCCTGTACAAATTCATCATCTACGTGTGCATTCTTAGCTTTTAATTTCACATTTTATTTGTCTTATTTAATCACATGTAACTGCCTTGCTTCATTTTTAGCCTACTATCACCAGATGGTGGGCAGTTCAAATTGCCCTGCCTCTTGCATCCATTATCCGTCAATTGCCCATCCTTAAACAGTTCCTGTTATCACCTTTTCTGGAGAATCATGTGATGAATCATTTTTAAATTTCAGATGTAGGTTTGCCTTGGTACCTTTTGGTACTTAGTTCTGATTTTAGAATTGATCAAAAAAACCAATTTTTACTCTGGAAGAACAGAATGGATCTTTTTCATATTTCATATGTAAGTTCTCATTGGGCCTTAGATGTGCCCATTTGACTTTGGGACTGAACAGAAAGAAAAATGGCTGACAGGTTTCCATCTTGGATTTCGACGATGAAAGTTTGTTATCACTATAAGAAGCAGTGGGTGGACCCTTCTCAAATTTTGATTGTATGTTTCCCTCCAAGTTGTGCTCTTTCTATTTCAGATCAATCAGGACAGTAAAAGATTAATGCATTTTATCTATATTTAAAAAAAAAATCAAATTCCACATAATGAAGAGAAGAAAGAAAGGAAAGAAGGGAAGAGATCCAACTGATCAAACAATGGTGGGTGCCAGGGTCTGTCTGGGAGCTCTTGTTAATATCACATATTTTAGAATATTTGTCTGAACAGATGTGGTATAAGCAATAGATATATATTAAAACTACACCTTTAATGCATCTTATTTTACCTTGTGCTGCTTTATTTTTCTATTCCTTCTCTCCTATTCAGTAGAGCACTAGCCTACGCAACCTCAGGTGAAGGAAGTGTGTTAATTCTCAAAAAAACTAAGAAACCCAGTGATCTGTGCTGTAATGGTTGTGTCCTTCGTCATGTCACATACTGCCACTGGTGGATGGCATGAGACAGACCTCCTGTGGTGTGTTGTTCAGTTAGATGGTACATGATGGGCCTCCTGTGGTGTGTTGTTCAGTGAGATAGCCACCATGGTACATGATGGGCATCCTGTGGTGTGTTGTTCAGTGAGATGGTACATGATGGGCCTCCAGTGGTGTGTTGTTCAGTGAGATGGTACATGATGGGCCTCCAGTGGTGTGTTGTTCAGTGAGATAGCCACCATGGTACATGATGGGCCTCCAGTGGTGTGTTGTTCAGTGAGATAGCCACCATGGTACATGATGGGCCTCTAGTGGTGTGTTGTTCAGTGAGGTGGTACATGATGGGCCTCCTACGGTGTGTTGTTCAGTGAGATGGTACATGATGGGCCTCCTGTGGTGTGTTGTTCAGTGAGATGGTACATGATGGGCCTCCAGTGGTGTGTTGTTCAGTGAGATGGTACATGATGGGCCTCCTGTGGTGTGTTGTTCAGTGAGATAGATGGTACATGATGGGCCTCCTGTGGTGTGTTGTTCAGTGAGATGGTACATGATGGGCCTCCTGTGGTGTGTTGTTCAGTGAGATAGCCACCATGGTACATGATGGGCCTCCAGTGGTGTGTTGTTCAGTGAGATGGTACATGATGGGCCTCCAGTGGTGTGTTGTTCAGTGAGATGGTACATGATGGGCCTCCAGTGGTGTGTTGTTCAGTGAGATGGTACATGATGGGCCTCCTGTGGTGTGTTGTTCAGTGAGATAGCCACCATGGTACATGATGGGCATCCTGTGGTGTGTTGTTCAGTGAGATGGTACATGATGGGCCTCCAGTGGTGTGTTGTTCAGTGAGATAGCCACCATGGTACATGATGGGCATCCTGTGGTGTGTTGTTCAGTGAGATGGTACATGGTGGGCCTCCAGTGGTGTGTTGTTCAGTTAGATGGTACATGATGGGCCTCCTGTGGTGTGTTGTTCAGTGAGATAGCCACCATGGTACATGATGGGCATCCTGTGGTGTGTTGTTCAGTGAGATGGTACATGATGGGCCTCCTGTGGTGTGTTGTTCAGTGAGATAGCCACCATGGTACATGATGGGCCTCCAGTGGTGTGTTGTTCAGTGAGATGGTACATGATGGGCCTCCTGTGGTGTGTTGTTCAGTGAGATAGCCACCATGGTACATGATGGGCCTCCTGTGGTGTGTTGTTCAGTGAGATAGCCACCATGGTACATGATGGGCCTCCTGTGGTGTGTTGTTCAGTGAGATAGCCACCATGGTACATGATGGGCCTCCTGTGGTGTGTTGTTCAGTGAGATAGCCACCATGGTACATGATGGGCCTCCAGTGGTGTGTTGTTCAGTGAGATAGCCACCATGGTACATGATGGGCATCCTGTGGTGTGTTGTTCAGTGAGATAGCCACCATGGTACATGATGGGCCTCCTGTGGTGTGTTGTTCAGTGAGATGGTACATGATGGGCCTCCTGTGGTGTGTTGTTCAGTGAGATGGTACATGATGGGCCTCCTGTGGTGTGTTGTTCAGTGAGATGGTACATGATGGGCCTCCTGTGGTGTGTTGTTCAGTGAGATAGCCACCATGGTACATGATGGGCCTCCAGTGGTGTGTTGTTCAGTGAGATGGTACATGATAGGCCTCCTGTGGTGTGTTGTTCAGTGAGATGGTACATGATGGGCCTCCTGTGGTGTGGTGTTCAGTGAGATAGCCACCATGGTACATGATGGGCCTCCAGTGGGGTGTTGTTCAGTGAGATAGTCACCATGGTACATGATGGGCCTCCTGTGGTGTGTTGTTCAGTGAGATGGTACATGATGGGCCTCCAGTGGTGTGTTGTTCAGTGAGATAGCCACCATGGTACATGATGGGCCTCCTACGGTGTGTTGTTCAGTGAGATGGTACATGATGGGCCTCCTGTGGTGTGTTGTTCAGTGAGATAGCCACCATGGTACATGATGGGCCTCCTGTGGTGTGTTGTTCAGTGAGATAGCCACCTCCTGTGGTGTGTTGGTACATGATGGGCCTCCTGTGGTGTGTTGTTCAGTGAGCCACCATGGTACATGATGGGCCTCCTGTGGTGTGTTGTTCAGTGAGATGGTACATGATGGGCCTCCTGTGGTGTGTTGTTCAGTGAGATAGCCACCATGGTACATGATGGGCCTCCTGTGGATGAATGGAACTGGTCTGTGGACTCGACTGGAGGTAGTTAAAATTTCCATTTCAAGCAATTTTGTCCTTCAGGTTGAGTACTTTATTGAAGGATGAATGTTTTAGAACTTGACTAAGTTGATTACAATGATCTGTGTCTCAGGTCATCAGAATAAACCTCTTTTTAAGTGCAGGTTTCAAATTCCAGCTAAGTTAACGTCCTGTTTCATTGACATACAGTTATGTAGTAAAGTATCTTTTAGAATGTGTTATACTTGTCCTTTGTATTTTCAGCTCACCTGGTCCAAAACACAGATACACTCATGCCATGCCATGACATATGTTGTGCGCCAACATTTTTCCTAAAAATCAGTAATACCATAAATGTGTATGCATGGCACGGGCCCATAGGGAAAACAGAGAAAAATACTTTTTGGTATATACAGTGGATGTCTTCACCCTGGATTAGGAGGACCCGAGAGGAAAAATAGATCAAATATTTCTTGTATAAGGAATGTCTCCTCTCTATCTAAGTTTTATCTGAAGCATTCTTGATTGAAGAAGAATCAATTTTGAGTAGACAGTGGGTCCTGGTCCCACTAAGGTGGAAGTAGTAGGTACCAATGGGGGAAATAGAGAAAACTCTTTAATTTCTATCCCTTTTTGGTCTTAAGCGTGTCTGGATTTGTACTCCCTGTAGCGAGAGGTATAAAGCCTAATAGTGAAATGTAATAAGTTCTTCAGAATCCTTCTTCTGCCCAGGATATTGTCCATATTTGGTCTGAAGCATCCCATGAAGAAGATGTCTAAATTTTGTATAAACAGTGGATCTGACTTTCATATAACCACAAGGCCACTGCCTTAAGGGAAATTATTTCAGAAATTGTTTTTCCCTCATGAAATTCTATGTAAAATTACTTAATAGCTGAATTAGTAAGGAGAGTGATACAGTTGCAGGAGAGAGGAATGTGTCAAAACTTATAGGCAGGAAGGAATATAGTGTATATTGTTCATGACCTGAAAATTGAACTAATCATCACTTCTGAGTTTAAAAAAACACTATGATTATGGCACTGTACCCTTGGTCTTCAAGATTGGAATTGATAGCTGATTTCATTTATATTATTAAAAAAAAAAGATTAAAAAAATCTAATTAATTAGATATGAAAGTTTCCTTTTTATATACAAATGTATTTCAAAAGAATTAAGAGGATAGTTTAACTTTCAAGACATCTTTTTGAAATTTCATCAGATTTCATCTCAGGTAAATATATTCTTTATATTTGGATTGGTATTTAGCAGGTTTTTGTCATATAAAAATATATACATATATGTTCTACATGTACAAAATGTAGGTGTCCTCACAAAGTTTTGTATATTATATCACCTAATTGCTGACATATGCAGTATAGCTATAATTTTAATTATTGTTATTTATAGAAAAACCTAACTTCAAATGTTTGGTGGGGGTGCACCTCCTTCATAAGTTTTTAAAAGGAGCCGCATCAACTTAGTTAAAACTGGGTAGAACTGTAATACCCTGGTGAGATTTTTATTTCTTAAACAAATCCATGAGCTTCTTGTCTTTGATTCTGATATGAAAATTCTAAGATGCCAGAGCAGTGACCTGCAAGTTTTAAACGTTTACTGATAGTTTATCTGGTAACTACTTAAAACTAGTTAGCTTTGAACTTCTGGTGTCAAGCTGTGCTAACTTAATTTTTCACATAGGTGCAAGATCATTTTTCATATTACACAATAAGGATTGAAATAATACAAAACGGTAAAATATTGTGTACATTTAGCCAGTAACAATGTTCAGTTAAACAATCAAGGGATGCCAAATGTGATCTAAATGTTTGATCAAGCTTATCACAGATATTGTGTGATAATATCATCTAAGAAATGATATTCAGACAGATATATTGAATATCAATTAGGATTAGATGTATATCCATTTATTTTTCAACGTTACTTTGGAGAAGATATACCACTACAAAACACGAAAGTACTGGACAACATTCGAACAGATTGATTGTGTGTTATCAAATATAAAAAAAAAGTTGGACAGGAGCATTTTCTCTGCTGCTAGTACACATTATTAGAAAAAAATATTTAAAAAAAAACACACAAAAAAAGAAAAAAAAAGAAAGTAAAACAATGTCAGAAAAAAATATAAAAAGAATAAGAAAAAAATCAACTAGTGTCCCTGCTGAGCTTCGAATCCGTTTAAGATGCAGAGAAAGTGTCCGGAGCTCTCCCATCTTGGAGATAGAATTGTGAAAGTATTGCCAGGGACGCTGAAGTGAGCGCGAAAAAGGCGACATGGTAAGTGTAGCTTGTACTTCGTGTGCACTGTCTACGTAACGCTTCCTGTCTGATAACCGTCAATTGATTATTATGTATCATTATGTTTGAAGAATCCGTATGCCATGGTGTCGGTAGGCATTATCGAATTTGGATTCACATCCTACAGGGGCCCTACCTGGCATTACACACAGTGTACACATAAAATCAATTTTGATCTTGAGTATCGTACATAAGCTGTTGTATAGCAAAAGTTTACTTTTTATTATTTTTAATAACAGATTAAATAGAATGGATGCATTCATGGTAAATTAATTCCATCCTCTTTCTTAATGTAGGAATGTAGTCCGAAATTTCTGCCTGTCTCAGCAATATTACATTTGTCATGGAATCGTCCGCGACCAAGGCAAAATAAAATCGTGGATACATCAGAAGAACCCTTTCGGACTAGTAGGAATGTTGATTCGAACACCCTGGCTCCTCATTACATGTAGTCTCTTGCTTTGATATTTATTGCCTTCGTACTGTATTTGACTTTAAAACAGTTGATAATCTCCATGATAAACAGATGGCCATAATAGCCTGTTGTTGATCATTTAAACTTTTGTTTTGTTAATGAGTTTTGTTAATATTTAGTGGTAATAAGTACTCGCCAGAAAAATACATGATGTTTTCATGCCTGTTGCTGTTAATGCAAAAACTGTATTAGAGTTTGAAGTCATGTTAGACAAACACTGGAAAAACTGTTTATGTACGATATGGACATAGAGGCTCTAAGCCTGTGTCCATTATTATTACTATTAAATCCTATTAAATACCTTGTTGATCATGTTCTGAAATCTGATTGAAACACCTCCTCTCTCCCAAACACACACGTCATAAACATATAGTATTGTAGTAATTACTTTGTCTGATTTTGGTAATTTGATTTGTCAGGTTTGGAGGGGATCTCGTCTAACAGTTTCTTACCCTTCTTAAATTTTGTATGTTCCGTCATCAAAACATATTGGCACTACCTCTACCCTGGGCATTTTGACTCAAAAAGGTTTTAGAAGAGTCATTGTCCTTTTCAATTATTTTTTTGATCTGCAGCTATCCTCTCCATCACTTTCATTTCAAACTTGGTAGATTTAATTATACAGTCATTGAATTGAACTTTCTTGGTGACATTTTGTTTAGATAATTATTGTTTTTGCTGTTGGCGTGGGAGGACCCCCACCCTGCAGTGCTCTTACTATTTATGTATAGCATCTGCTTGCATGTGTATAAAAAAAAAAAAAAAACAATATACAGATGTTAAGTTAGGCACACAGTTGGACTGCACTTTTGTCCTGTGTTCTGACGACTTGCATGCTAGTGTCAAGTCTTTCCCAATTTACATGGTTCATACTTTAACAACATGTATTTTTTTGTATTTTTCAACATTTATATTTGTTTTTAAGTCTAGTTTGTCTAAAAGAAAGTGTAAGCTCCAAATCTGGCGTTTCAAAATATATGTTTGTCAAAAACAGGTTTACAAATATACTTCTACAATGTGCACTCTCCCGTATGGAAGTTCCAAGAAAACAACAGTCTTAACTTTCCCCTGACTCCTGCACCAGACGTTTGATATTTTGATAGACAGTGATCTGACATGGAGGCTCTACCCCATACATCTGCTTGTCTGTCAAAATGTCTTAATGTGGGATAGAACTAGGACTAAACTCTGTAATGATGTCACTTTGTAAAGCTATTAAGTTTATGTGTTTCACGAGAAGCTCTACAGTAGTCCAATTCAAACTATTATCTTCAGTCTGATGTTATCTACACAATTTCAATATTACTTTTAAACAAAGCAGGTGACTCTTATAATTACCACAACATAGCAGGAAAACGCCAAAAAGCACAGGTGCAAGAATTGAATTGATCAACATCTGTAATCTTTGTAATCTTGTATTCTGGTACCTGTTTTTACAGACCAATATTTCATATCTAAGAGCAATTAATCACAGGTATGGATGACCAAGTCATGCCTAGTTTGCCTTATCAACATTCATTACCTCTAAACCCAAGATAACCTGTATTGATGTATGGAAATAAGATGAAAGAGGACACCGTTCAGGGTGTTATATTAATGCTTGAAGATTGCTATGTATTACACCTAAAATCTGGTGTAATGTAAAAATGTTTGGTCCTACTGTGTATTACCAGGATACCACATACATTTAACAGGTGTGTGGATAGTTAAACTATGATACCAATATCAATCACAGCATAGAACAGTCACCACTCTACAATATAAATTATAAATAATATGATAGGACTGTTTTGCAAATCAATGTAAATCTAACCCTAGGACAGTATATCATTATCTACAGTTCGGTACAAATACTAATCACTAAGTGCTAGAGTAGCTATAAAACAGTGTGACAAATCTACAAAACAAATGTCAACCTAAACCAGTATATAAATCATACCCCAGGACACTATATCATAAATATAACAAAATACCACACCAATATATATCACACTTTAGGACACTATATCACAAATATAACATATATATCACACCAATATATATCACACTTTAGGACACTATATCACAGATACAACATATATACCACACCAATATATATCACACTATATGACAGTGAAGTTTACTCCTTAAGATGGTGTACACTACACATGTTTAGCTCTTTTGTTTATAATTATTTTACAATACCAGTAAGAGAAGTGTCAACTCCTGCCCTGGAAAAGGGAAGTGCATAGGATCCTACAGAGTGATGATCTCTTGAGCGTTATAGTTCCTACAGAGTGATGATCTCTTGAGCATTATAGATCCTACAGAGTGATGATCTCTTTAGCATTATAGATCCTACAGAGTGATGATCTCTTGAGCATTATAGATCCTACATAGTGATGATCTCTTGAGCGTTATAGATCCTACGGAGTGATGAACTCTTGAGCATTATAGATCCTACAGAGTGATGATCTCTTGAGTGTTATAGATCCTAAAGAGTGATGATCTCTTGAGCGTTACAGATCCTACAGAGTGATGATCTCTTGAGCGATATAGATCCTACAGAGTGATGATCTCTTGAGCGATACAGATCCTACAGAGTGATGATCTCTTGAGCGATATAGATCCTA